CCTTTTTACAAACGTGAGCTTGTTGGTTTTGTTCATCAGAGTAATTTGCCAATTCTACACTTTTCAGCTTCAGCATTCCACAATGTTTCTTAGCTGTTCGTGTTCTAGTTTATTCATATTATAGAATTGGAGAAAAGAATGCATTAACAATTGCTTGTTGTAAAAGCCTCTCCTTCGTTTGTAAAAGCCTGCCAGTTGTATATAGTTTATATAAAATGTTTATTTAAACTTTCACATTCATATACACATTTTTATATTTGCATGCCTAAAAATCAACAATTTGTTATGCTAAAAGAAGGAAAATATAACCATGAATACTATACATTTCCTTTATATATGTGTTTTTTAAAATAAGTTGAGCAGCTGCTTCTAGTGTTAATGATCACATTGTGTCTATGCTCAGTAATTGTATGGCAACATTGTTTTATGTTTAAATGTAATATAATGCAGTTATGTATAGCTATTATACAGTTACTGCTTGTACAACAATACAGTAACATTTACGGGTCTATTCACTAAGCTGCCGAGGGCAGCCGAGTGAACAACCGACCCCAAGTGAAGTGAGCCAAACACTGTTCGGCTATTCACTTCAGGCTTGTACGGCTGATTTCAGCCGTATATCGGCTGAAATCAGCCGTACATCGGCTTGCTTCGCAAGGCCTTGGGTCGGCCGAACATGCTCAGCATGTTCGGCTGACCCGGAGTGCAGAAGAAGTTCGACTCAGCTGATCCAACATTTGGAACGGCTGTGCCGAACCTCTGGCAGGCTACTCACTGCTGTTCGGCCTATTCTTATAGATGCCGAACAGCAGTGAGTGAATAGCCGAATGCCGCTGAGCAACATTCGGCTCGGCTGTTCTGCTCGGTCCCTCAGAGGGACCAAGCAGAACAGAAAAATAGTTAAAAAAGTACAAAAAAAGTAAATTGAAAACAATTGTGCAGAGCTAGCAATGACCGCTAGCTCCGCCCAACAGTTTTCCTATGTCCGGCAGCTCTGTTGCGGTAAAAAAAAAACAAAAAAAAAACCTCCCGGGCGCTCTGGGAGCCTTCCACTCCCGGCCGCCCAGGAGAGAAACACTGATTTATTTTTTTTTTCTTTATTCTGACATGGAGTTGTGTCAGAATAGAAAAAAAAATAGTTTTGCCCATTGGAATGCATTGTTAGATTCCTATTAGCATTGGGACATTACTATTGGCTATTTCAATTTGCAATAGCCAATAGTAAACAAGCATTGTACCCGACCTCTGCTGCAGTTCCCCATCAGGTCCATCATCAGAGGGTGGGTACAATGCTAATTTACTATTGGCTATTGAAAATTGAAATAGCGGATAGGAATCTAGCAATGCATTCCAATGGGCAAAAACATTGCAGTGTTTCTCTCCTTGCGGCCGGGAGCAGGAGACTCCTGGAGCGCCAGGGAGAGTTTGCTGTTTGGAGATCAGTGTCCCTGGTTAGCAGGTAACCAGGGACGCTGATCTCTCTGCAAGTGGCCGGAGCCAGCCGTAAGATCACGGCTGGCTCCGCCCAGCTGTCAGAAGCAGGCTGTCGGCCGGCCAATGGCCGGCCGCTCGGCCAGCTTCGGCTTTCAGCACGGCTCAGCCGAGCCGATGCATATGCGTTCGGCTCGGCTGAGCCGCTCGGCCATGATCGGGAGCTGTACGGGCTATTGTGAATAGCCCGTACAGCACCCCTTCGGTTCTACTGAACCGAAGGGGTCCTGGGGCCGAAGCATCGGCCGAAGCTACGGCTAGATCCTTTGGCAGCTTCGTGAATAGACTCCATAGTGTTGAAGGCTACCTAAACATCTATTCAAATGATATCCAGTTAGGTAGAATCTCAAACTAAACAGTTGTTGAATTTGGTTGATCTGACAGATCATATCTAAAAGAAAACCTGCCTGTTTTCACCGCATTTAGCTACTCTACACAGTGGCGTAACCAGAGTTATTGGCGCCCGGGGCAGAACATTTTTTTTCGCCCCCCCATATTATATAAACATCCACTAGAACTGTACCCCCCACTCCCACACATATATATCAGCTAAGGAACTACAAGTCCAAGCATGCCATCATTGTCCCTGTACACCCCCCCCACACACACACACATATCACCAGAGGCGGCTCTAGACTTTGTGAGGCCTTAGGCGAAACTCAAACATGAGGCCCCCACTTACACCCATATTGAAAGACAATGCAAACAATAATTAAAAATGAACTGTATACATTGCATATTGTAAGACGAGCGTTTAATCCCAGCAGCCAGGAATTTACAGCTTCTAGAGCTAGAATCTTATTTCTGTCTCATATCTAATTCTACAAACAACTATACGCAAAACCATAACCCTAAGGAAGTAACATGCAGAGGTCAGATTAAGTAACGCACAGAGAGCAGAGGTCAGTAATAAGTAACGCAAAGAGATCAGTAGTAACGCACAAAATGCAGAGGTCAGATGTAAGGAACGCACAGAGTGCAGAGGTCAGATGTAAGGAACGCACAGAGTGCAGAGGTCAGATCTAAGGAACGCGCAGAGTGCAGAGGTCAGATCTAAGGAACGCACAGGGTGCAGAGGTCAGATGTAAGGAACGCACAGAGTGCAGATGTAAGGAACGCACAGTGTGCAGTGGTCAGATGTAAGGAACGCACAGTGTGCAGTGGCCAGATGTAAGGAACATCTGTAATGAACACAGTTCAGTAGTAAACACAATAAGAAGGATCTACTCACTGGTATTGGGCAGCTGGATTTTTTACATAGGGGGTTATTCACAAAGCTGCCGAAGGATCTAGCCATAGCTTCGGCTGATCCTTCGGGTAGCTTCGGCACCAGGACCCCATCGGTTCAGTAGAACCGAAGGGCTGCTGTACGGGCTATTCACTATAGCCCGTCCTGCTCCCGAAGTTGCCTCGGCATATGCTTCCGCTTGACTGAGCCGTGGTGAAAGCCGAAGCTGGCCGGGCGACAGCCTGCTACTGACAGCTGGGCGGTGCCATCCGTGATCTCACGGCTGGCTTTCGGCCACTTGCAGAGACAGATCGATCATTCTCCCCGTGAGGAAATGGCTGCTCCCTCCCAGCCTAGGGGCGGACTGACCAGAGGCAGGTTAGTTGAAGCTGCAGAGGCGATCTATGCGGCCGCGAGGCCCTCGTGAGCGCGAGGCCTAAGGCGACCGCCTAACTCGCCTAATTAGAGAGCCGCCTCTGCATATCACCCAGGGAACGGCAATATCTGGTTGTTGTACAGGGGCAATGAGGGCATGCTGGGACTTGTAGTTCCCTAGCTGATATGTTATGAAGCTGTATTCCACCTGAAAGTACTACAATTACATTATAGAACTAAGAATAGAACATAAAATAAAACTTTTTTTTTTCTAATACTCACCTGATTCCTTATTAGCATAGCGGGGAAGCTGGCTGCGCATTTTGCATTTGACAGCTCACCCCCCCGTGACAGTACATCCCTCCCTGCCCCCCCCCAAAGTGAAAGTACATACCTCCCTACAAACAACATACAAAGCTATCTACAACTCTGCCCACGGCTACATCTCCAACCTCATCTCATGATATCACCGAAACCGCCCTCTCCGCTCCTACCAAAACCTCTTGCTCTCTAGCTCCCTTATTACCTCCTCCCATGTTCACTTCCAATTCTTCTCCAGAGCCTCTCCCATCCTCTGGAACTCTCTACCACAACCTATGCGGCTTTCTCCTAATCTGTCTGCCTTTAGGTTATTCCTGAAAACTCACCTCTTCAGGGAAGCCTATCCCACCTACTCTTAAACACGTTACATCTACTCCTTCAATCACCTCATCCCTCACAGTTATTACCTTCTGTTTTACTTGCCCCTCCTTGTAGATTGTAAGCTCTCATAAACCTTTGTGTATGACAGTGTACTGCAATTGTACTGTCCCCCATATGTTGTAAAGCGCTGCACAAATTGTTGGTGCTATATAAATCCTGTATTATCATAAAATAATATTTCTTTCTGTAAATGCACACAATCATTTCAGCCCAAACATCTATGTATTTATGTACACAGGAGATATCCCTGACATTGGGCCTATCTTGGGTAAACAGTACAATTTGTTTGTAAAACGTCCTTCCAAACAACTGATCAAAACTTACTGATTACAGTATACCAAAGACATGATACAGTGATGCTAATGGACTAAAAGATTAGAGCATGTTCACTTTGCAAATTGAATTTTGACTTTGCTGGGAATTCTCACTAACATTAGTACAAGTGGTGGGAATTTACTTTGGAAAGAAAATCCAATCACATGAAACGAAAATTCAAAAACAGGATTTGTTTGGATAATTGAAGTCAGCACCCTTTCCCCATATTCACTAGTTAAAGTTCACTTTCAATGTGCAATGTGCAATGCTGCAATGTGCTCTGCTCCTTTAGTAAATTAGGGTATGTCCATAGACATATTGGGGTTGATTTACTAAAGACAACTAGGCTGTTCAGTTTGCAAGAAGTTTTCCTATTAGCTTAGTGAATGAGATGAAGCTCTGCTGACTTCCATTATGTGCAAGAAAAAATACAGTATTTTATATTTTCCATTCTAATGATTATGCATTCTTTGCACAGTGAATTTTCACCACATTCGCTAAGCTAAAGCAAAATCCCCGTGGAAGGTGTACAGCATATTTGCATTTAGTAAATGAACCCCATTGACTATCTTCTAGCTTAATCATTATTGGCTAGATCAGAACATGTTTATTTTATGTCTATGGACCTGATTTAGTATAAATAAAGTTAATAAGCTCAAGAGTTTAGAAAAGGTAAACTGGTGTATCCCTAAGTTTAAGATGTCCATTTGATAGATAGTAAACCTGAAAAAGCATTACCACAAGCTGTCAGGGGTTTATCCATTTGCTTTTTGTGACAAAGGCTGACAAGTATGCAGAAAGTCTCACTGAAAAGCCCCTTTTTATTGTATAATTCAACCCTTTAGTTGAAATTACTGTAAACAATACTAAGAAGAGAAAAAATACATACTGTGCTGTGTTTGTGTATCGGGGCTGCAAGGTTCGGACTTTGGTAAAAGGTGCGAAGACTGCTGGAGGATTGTCAATGTCTTCGCTATTCACAGATCCAGTAATACCACTGTTTAGAATAAAATAACAACATTTAATCCCAAAGGTACACACATTGATATGCAGTCAGATAGACATTGTAATAGCAATCTTCATTCACATAGGATTACCTCCATTTTCCTGTTACAGCGGTTTTCAGGCAAAATATGACTGTGCACTCCAATAGGCACCAGAGTTAAATCCAGTGCCCGTAGTAATCAGCACTCAGTAACAGAACTGGTTTTCCCTCTCTCTTCCTTTTTTTTTAGATGGTGTAAGTACGCTTGTGATTAGAGGTGTAATCGGTTCTGTCAGTACAGAGCACGTAAGTGTGAGGGCAGTGAGCAGCATTTTCACTGAGAGAAAATTGTATTTTAAGTCATTTCTAAGCACATATCGGCTGCTGTACGGGCTCTAGTGAATAGTGCATTGAGAGAAAAGGGTATTTTTAAGTAATTTCTAAGCACATATCGGCTAGGTATATCGGCTTTAGGGGGTTATTCACTATGGAGCCAAAGGATACAGCCGTAGCTTCGGCTGATCCTTCGGCTTTCTTTGGCCACCTCTGCCCTTCGGTTCAGTCGAACCGATGGGCTGCTGTACGGACTATTCACAATAGCCCATACAGCAGCCTAGCAGCTCAGCCGAGCTGAAGGCATATGCTTCGGCTCGACTGAGCCGACGTGACAGCCAAAGTGTGGAGAAAGGTTGGCCGAAGCCGACGTATGGCTGATTTTAGCCGAAATACGGCTGATATCAGCCGTACAAGGCAGAAGTGAATAGCCGAACGTTTTTTCGGCTCACTTCACTTTGTTTTCGGCAGCTTTGTGAATAACCTCCTTAGCGTTACCCTTAGGCCCCGTTCACATTGAGGGATTTATCGTGCGGTAATTCCCGCGATATCGCGGCTATTTACCGCGCAATATCGCTCTTCAATGCTTTGCAATGGGGCAAAGGGTCCTGCTGTCGCGAGTCGTGTGTCGCTACAGCATGACCCTTTTTGGAGCGGATTTTGCCGCGATTCTCGCTTGCTCAATGCAAGCATTTGCGTGACAATTTGCGAATCGCGCAGTGTGAATGGGGCCTTAAAGTGAATCTATGGCCAGGCTTGGGACAGATATTTAAATATCCCTACAAGCAGTTAATCAACTTTAAAACAAGACTTCACTGCCCCCTGTACTCTCTTAGATTACCTGCTCTGTTTTTACATTAGAGATTAGAAATCTGGAAGTATGGTATGTCACTGCTGGTAGGGGAGCAGTAAGGACATATTTAAAAGCTAGTTTACTGCTTGTTATTGCTGACCTTGAACTACAATGCAAGATCCACTTATTACATTTATTACATCAACCCCCCCTTAACAAATCACTGCATTAAAGTATTACAATCTTCAGCATTCTCACAATGTTGTCAGATGGATTGTAATGTCACCTTTGCCTAGATGCCATGGGCAGAAGCCAGGAGAAAGATAAGCAAATTTTCTAACTTTGTTTCCCTCACAGGTGTTTTTTTTTGTTTTTTTTTTTACAGCTTTAATGCGGGGGTGGGGGGGAGCATGTAATAAGTAAACCTTAATGAATGCCAGGGAACATTTTTCTTAACCTTTGCAGTGGAGCTACCCCCGCACTGTAAGGGTTAAGTGCTCTTTATGGTCTATGTACAAAAATTAGAAAAGTTATACTCCCTGAACCCCGGAGCTGGATAGCTCCTACAGTGCCCCCTCCAACTAGGCTGAAGTGATGGTATGTCTCTCTGCATTCTCATGTACTGTGTAAAGAACCAGAGGCTTCCCCAGGCTGAGTGACACCTGGAGCAGCTGCCGCGTGTCACCTCCTGGGATGTAATCACGCACGGGAGTCACGTCATCACGCACGGGAGTCACGTCATCACGCACGTGCGTGAAGTCATTACAAAAGCGCGTGATGATGTCACGCACACTTAACTGCTGATGGCCATCTGGGTGATGGATGCCGGCAGAGAGAGGAGGGGACGTTCATTTTTATCCGCCGGGTCCCCTCCTCTCTTGTACAGCTGACAGGCACTCGGTTAAGGACCCCTATTCAGAGGGGGTGACACCAAAATGATTGTGAGTCATTTTGGTGTCACCCACCTCTGATGGTGTCACCCAGTGCGGGCTGCACACCCCTTGAGACACCACTGTATAGAACATAATTACTCAGGGACCTTAGACTGCTGCAGTGGAGGAGGAAGAGATGCTGCAAGGACTGGTTTAAGAGTTCCGATGAGTGGGTGAATATAACTTTTTAATTTTTGTACCTAGACAAAAATGAGCACTTAACCCTTGCAGTGCAGGGGTAGCCCCACTGCAAGGGTTAAGAAACATTTTCCATGGATTTCTTCTTTAAGTGTTAGGGTCAGGTAGGGTTAAATTTAGGGTCAGTTTAAATATTAGGAACAAGTCAGAGGTCAGGTAGATGCTTGAGCACACTTTTACTCTCATATGTTTGGGTGTTTAAGTGCTGGTGCTGAAAGCAGGTGTACCACAAACTAATTTAGACAAAAACGTACCAATAGCCTGGAATATGATCCATACGAGGATACGGAGATATGCTGAAATAGAGAAGAAAAAAGGTCAAAACTCTTTAGAAAATACTAGATGAAGCATTACATTCTTTTAAAATGAAATAGAATAACATATTTAAAACTGTCAGCAGTGGTATTTGTAATAACAGGAAACAAAACTACACAACACAGGCCAGATGTGCCAAACTGAGGTTTTTTGGCCACATGTGGCCCTCCTGCACCTATGTTGTGGCCCTCAGTGGTTTAGGGACTTCAACTCTAAGGCCTGGTTCACACCTGGGCATTTCACAGCGTGCTCCTACGCTCTGTAAAACGCTCAACATGTGAAAACCAATGATTGCCTATGGGCATGGTTCCCACCTGCGCATTTTACAGTGCGTAGGAACGAGCTGCAAAACGCCCTACGCCCAAAGAAGTTCAGGAGCTTCTTTGGGGCGTATTTGCCGCGTGTATCCATTGGGATACAGCCAGGTAGCCCTCAGAAACGCGCGTTTGTCGCACGTTTTTTTACCGCGAATCACAGTAAAAACGTGCAACACGGAACACGCGACAAACGCGCATATTCGATATGCCTAGGTGTGAACCCAGCCTAATAGGACCCAGTTTTTCCCCAGCCACTGCAAATATTTGACCCTTCAGGTGAATTTAAAACCTGCTACCCCTGCCACATACAGTGTTCCTTCAGATGGCTTGCGTGTCCTTCAGCACATACAAACTGGCGGAAGGAACCACAACATTCTGCAGGAAATCCGGTATTCTGCACACCTGTAAGTGTGTAATACATGCAGCAGCATTTATTAGTGGTCAGTAAAGCACCAGCTTTTCAACACTGAGCTGCTGGGAATGTATACATAGATTTACTCTTTTTTTACATACTGCCTCTGTTTAGAAGTCAAGCTGAGGGGTAGGGTCACTTTAATTATTAAAGTGCTATAATTATTTTCTGAAAGAAAAAGGTGCTGCCTTAAATATCTATAATGAGGCCTCCTCGAAGATTTACTGTATTCCACTTATCACAGCCCACTGTTTCATTTGAGATTGATATACCCACTTTAAACCTTTAAAATACTCGGGCTTCCACTCAAGACAAGGGTGGTAAATGTTGTTTGATTTCATAAAGTCAGTGGACCACTGATTTTGTGTAAGAAATATTTTTCTCCGGCCCCTAAAAGTTATAGGACTTTTCAGCAGGAATGCCACTTTGCCCTGATAATTTCCTCTGCAGTGTGATACATACTTACCAAGTGCTTCGGATTTGCTGAGACAGACCCACTTTTTATTGAGCTGTCCCTTGAAGGCTGTGTTCTTGGATCACAGCATGAAGCTCGTTGAGTCTTTCAGTCACTACATGTGTCCAGCAGCACCCTGTTACATTGTGCCCACTGCTCGGTTATATGTAAATACCTCAGTGGTTCATTCATATGCAAATCCTTCCCCCATTCCAAGGCAATTCAGTACTTAGTAGTTTTATAACACAGGATTTTCCACCTACAAAACCTTCAACCCATCATCAGCCAGTGTCGCAGTACTCAGCAGAAAGGTCAGTGTCAAATAATGTCTCTCAATATTTTATTACAAATGTGTTTGCAGTGTAATTGGTGTCTATCACTGCAAGAGCACTTTAGGGTTAGTTTACACCAAAAACTGCATCACAACTGCGTGCGTCTGCGCAGTTGCATTGCGATCCGTTTTGATGTGTTTGTGATGCGTTTTTCCCCCTGCATGTTCCTGGATGATGCCGCAATGAATTCTGTTTTGTATGCGTTCCGTTGCGTTTCGGTGCGTTTTGATGAGTTTGCATGCGTTTGCACTGCATTTTGATAGGTTTTGTGTAGTTAGATGCAGGTAAAATAGGACAAGCAGTACTTTTTCTGACTGCATCTGAACGGACTGCAATGGTGTGAATTAAGCATAAGAAAGCCCATAGGAAATCATTGTGATGTATTTTGACTGCAGCAGTCAAAATAAACGGACTGCATCACAACTGCATATGGTGTGAACTAGCCCTTAGACTGCACAGACTAAAAGTTGGCGCTCGCTAAAAAATACATAATTAATTTTACCAATAAAAATACCTTCTTGGTTGTGTTTCTGTCCTTATTTTAGTAAATATTCCTGTGTATACAATATTTTAAAATTAAATTGTATAATAAGTTACTGATATGTCTCTTGTAGAACCACGCCACTTTTAAATGAATGCCCCACCCCTAATCATTGTCCATCTGCAATCCATAATCTTTGTCCATCTTGTTGGATGCACAGCAAAAATAGGTGTCCCTGGATTTTTTCTAATTCCTGTCAACTATGGTAGTATGAAGGGATATTGTTATACTAATCACTTCTTTGGCAATAAAGTATAAATGTATTTCTCCTTACTACATTTAGGTATTTCTTATAAACAGCATGGCATAATTCCGAGATAGGTAATGTGGCATCACTCTTCCTCTGGTTACATGATATCACTGGTAACATAAGGGGTTATTCACTAAAGGGTGAAGAGTTTGGAGAAGGCAGAAGAAGTGAACAATCTAGGACAACATAGCTGACCTGGAAAGTGAGCTGAATTGGAGAATTGTCCTAGATTGTTCACTTTTCCTGCCTTCTCCAAACTCTTCACCCTTTTGTGAATAACCCTGATAGTGTCACTAATGAAATCCTGGGGGTGGTCACAAAATATACTGTACAATGGGATATTAAAAATGGAGTATGCAGCTTGTTACTGAAGGATTGGGCAGCTGGCAATATTTTATTTATACTGTAGGTATGAGGCATTAGGGGCTTCAAACTAAACAAGAACTCTTTGTTGTAACTTTGCAAATTCAAAAACGCCAATTTAATAAAATACCAAAGAGAGGGTAATGTAGAGGGGAGTGGCATGGCATTATTCTAGCAGTATGGCATCATTCTGACTGTAGTAAAGGTGGCATTACTCTTCTTTTGATTACTGACAATAACCCTTTTACTGTAGAGCATTTTATTTGAATTTTTTGCACACATTTTAAATGTGCATTTTTTTAGCCAGAAGATTATGTAAAACTGCCAAAACATTATGGGGGTTGTTCACAACGGAGCCAAAGGATCCAGTCGTAGCTTCGGCTGATCCTTCGGCTCGGCTTTATTAATTCATTTTTTATTACATTTTTTTATTTTTTTATTTACTTTTAGGGGCTTTGGGGAAATATTAGGGGTCTAAACAGACCCCTGATATTTCCCTTTTAAAATAGAAAAAGAGATTGAGAACACAAAGTCCTCAATCTCTTTTTCTGTGTCCCCTGTTATCAATGAACAGGAATCCTCTATGAGTGTTCCTGTTCATTGATAACATGAGAACATTGTTTGTTTACTATAACTACAAATATGAATGAATGGGGGTGATGTAGATCACTCCCATTCATTCATAATTGTGGATATAGTTATTATACAATATCCTCAATTATCTGCAAACACTCAGCGATCAATGATAGCTGAGTGTGTGTACCTTGCTCTTCACGCTGTCACAGGAGGCTGATTGAGCGGTGTAGAGAGGAAAGCCCAGCCTCCTGTGACAGCGCTGTCTCCGCCTACACACCGCTCTGCCAGACTGTGATAGGCGGCAGAGCGGTGTGGGAGGAGACGCCGGCCGCTCACAGCGCTCTCCACCGCAGCGCTCGGCCGGCTGTCACTTTCTCTTCTCCCCGCTGGGACATAGAGCAGCGCCCAGCGGGGAGGAAAGAAATCAGGGATGCGCCGATGTATTGGCAGGAAAATGGCACTTTTGGCATTATGCCAAAAGTGCCATTTTCGGCCGATATGTTTCAGCGGCCGATATATCTGTCATCCCTAGTATTTACTGTAAAAAAAAATTGATCGTATCAAGTAAATAGATATCAAACATGTCAAGCTATAAAAATACATGCCACGCAAGATGGTAGGAGAATATGATATGTAAAATTTTCCATAGGTGATGCTTTAAAAGCCTTTACAGCTTAACATTTTGTCATTTACACATACGCTCATGCCCTACATGTGCAATTGCAATAATAAAATATTTATTGTATTTTAAAATTCGAATTACCTTGATCTAAACTTAATAATGGTAAGATCTGATATAATGGATAACATGATGCAACTTATTTATAATAAAACTTACAATGTCACAGGTTTCTTCTGGCCATGAAATACCCGTGTTTGAAATCTGTCCCACATTCCCACTGTCACCTGGAAAATAATTACATAATAATGAAGGTTGAAAAAGAAATAGATGAACTGTTGATTATACAATTAAAGCATTTACATTAAAGTGCAACACCAGCTGTTTGAATACTTTTATCTAGTGTTTACGGTTGCCTGGATCCTCCATGGAAAGATTTTTCCTCAATTCCTTCCTAGAGACCACTGTCTATGATATGAATTAGGGATGCACCGATACCACTTTTTTTAAGACCGAGTACAAGTACCGATACTTTTGATCAAGTACTCGCAGATACCAATTACCGATACTTTTTCTTAAAGGGACAGGTCATATTTTTTCTAAAGCAATACAAACTAATGCTTTAAGGTCACTTTCCTAATATTATGATTCATGAGATGACGAGGGAGCATGACGCCGGCTTCCCGGCCAATCAGAATGCCGGGCGCTGCGTCATTACAAGGCGCCAGGACGAGAGAGCATGGAGCCGTTTCCTGGCCAATCAGGAAACCGGGCAGTGTGTAATGATGCGCTGCCCGGCTTCCTGATACAGGAAGTACTCGTGCTAGGTATCGGAGCATTTGGGCGAGTACGAGTACTCACCCAAATACTCGGTACTGGCACCGATACCGATACTAGTATCGGTATCGGTGCATCCCTAATATGAATAAAGTGAGTGGAATCTCCCCATAGCTTACGCATACAAAAACCAGAGGCACAAACCTTTCCCAATTCTATAAAAGGTGTGTTATTATCTTGGTAACCACTGTTACTAGAACAGGAAATAAGAAGGAATCTTCCACAACAGGAGCAAAAGACGGCAATAAATTCCATGCAGACTAGAAGGCAAGGAGAAGCATGACAGTGACATTTAAAAAATGAAAAACTTTTCTATGGACAGTGTCAGCCCTGTTTTTAAGACATTGCCATTCCTTGCACAGGTATAGAAAAACTGATAATGACCATTACATTCAAGTGTATAAATTGTATAATGCAGCAATAATTTTGACAGTTGGCCATTCTTTAAAATGAACATCAAGGCCCAAACAGAAACAGTTTTGTCAACAGTTACAGTTCATTTAATTCCTCATAATATTTTTTATGACTAGCTAGCAAATTAGATAAAAGCAAATGCCTTTGTGACTTTCCCGAGTAGACAGCGCTTTAGATACTGTGTGTGCACTCATGTTGCTATCCCTAAGATGACAGATGCGCTTTACAAATTAATTCTCCATCTTTTCTATGACCTTGCTTACACAATAGAATTGGGGCTGCAGTAGAAAAGCCAGAATACAGCAGTTTCCATGCATTCACATGCAGTTTTCGGAGGGAGCTTTTCATTGTCCATAGCATACACTGAAAGCTGCAGATAAGTGAAAGTTGATTTATAGTCAAAACTATACAAATTTCCACCTTTTGTGTTGCAATTGAAATCTAATCAGCTGTAGATATTACATTTTTTATATGACGAATCGAGATCAGTTCAGTTGTATCTTCTAAAGAATCTTGGGGACTATGTCAGCAGATTCCTCAGAAAGAACCAGCCAATGAATATCTCTCCCTGAGCAGTGCCCTGACATCAACTCCTTAAAAATCCTTCATATCAGAAGATGTTTGGGTCTTTTGTATATCTTAACGTTGAGTGTAGGTCTGCTTTAAACCTGTAGTCTTTAATTCAGTCTTAGTGACCAACTGTTTAGAAAGTCATTACCTAGAAACACAAAAGCTGGCAATACACAGTAAGATTTAATTCAGTCTGCACCGAAGGCTGAAGGAGACAAAATCACTAGACTTGCCCATTCACGCTAAAGAGTATGGATGGAGGAATGTCCCCTCACGTCTATTGTATTCACCTGAACAGCGACTCCTGCTTAAAGAAACTGATGGCTTAAAGCTAAAATCAAAGCTAGACAAATATGTGTAGTCTCTCTTCTACACCCTTGGTGTACTTTGTGTACACTTTCAAATGTGTGCAGCAATCCTGCATGAAACAACCCATACACTGGTTACTGCTATTTGCTCTATTGTGCAGGGTGACCAGGTTTGTATCTGCCACCCTTGTAGTTTTTTGTAGAAAATCTGTAAGGATTGACCTGTTTGGTCCCTCCCACAGCTATGATGATATTGCTGAGTTTACAAACGCATTTAGTATGCGCAAAGTGAATTTAAGTTCTTTGTGGCAGTGGAGGAATATTTTTATGTCCTTCAATTTCAGGACAAACTGAAAAAAAATAAAGTAGCAAGCGGAAATGATGGAGGGACAGTAATAGGACTCAAAAGCCTTATAGCAAAGCTGCAGGGAAAAATAACAGAATAAAAATGGCCCATTAAAAGATAAAACAACAAAACCAGTTTCTACTGCCATTTTAAACTTCAATCCAGAGATCTCCTCTGCAGTATTATTTCTGCTGCTAATGGCCATCATCATTCAACCCACTTCCTCTAAGCCCAGGTTGTCCCAGACCCACCCAGCCTGTGACTGGATAATGAAAGGTGAAGAAGAACAGTAATGAGCTCACCTCTCTATTATTCTGCATTCTCATTCTATGAGCTTGCTTTTTGTCAACACATGAACTGATTGTTTCCTTGTGCTGCTACTTCCTCTCACACTACAGGTCTTCTCTACAGGGACTGCAAGGGGCGGATACCAGGTCAAATTCAAGTACTTATGCTTACATTAAAAAATATATTTAATGATGTATTAATGGTTACCGGACTGCATTCACTTGTGTCTTTTATATTTCCCTGGAGGTCAGCTTTATATACCAAGTAGTAATACATTTTCCTTTCTAGTTTCAAAGAAGGCATATGTTTGCTAGTTTTTCTATAAACTAAAGTTTATTTCCACTAGTCCTTTCATATACATTTTTGAGAGCAACACTTTAATGTACATAGTTTCATAGTTAACGAGGCTGAAAAAATACCGTTTACATACTTGCCATATTTCCGGTTTAGGTTCATATCTTTTCAGGGTGAAATGCTGTGAGACTGGATCTGGCATTTTTTCTAATGTATCCTCAGGATGCTGTAGCTTTGGTGGCAGCTTAATGTCCCATGGAACATCTCCATAAGCTCTGTGTAGGTAAATTCAGCAAGTATGAGATGGTAATTATATTGTGAAGGGCTCTTTTCAGTTGCTAAAATGTTCCATTTAATCTAATTCGCATACATGTTATCCATCCTCATCAAAATATTTTGAATAAACATAGTAAAGAAGTGATTTCTAAATCAAATTGTAATCATATTTATTTAAGCAAGAAATAACATTCACCTTATTTATAAATCATGCGTAAAGAGGACCGGCTCCACTGGTGTTGGCACCGGTAAACCATGCACGAAACAGGGACACCCAGAAATAGTCCAAGCAGGTCTGGCACTTTTATTTAGTCGGCCGAAGATACGGCCAGATCCTTCGGCAGCTTTGTGAATAGACCCCATAGTTTCAATGCAAGAGGGCCTTGTACAGAAAGCCAATAACAAAGCAAGCAACTAACTAAACTCATGTCAGTTCCTGACTAACGGTGCTCCTAATGGGTTCCCCAAAAGAAACATGCAACACTTTTTAGTGTTCTGTCAGAAATCAGCCTTTTCATGTAGCAGCAGGCTCCCACAGCAGAGAAAGTGAGAGAGAGCCTGAGCATCACTCAACTGAGATGAGACTAATTAATGAGGTTTGGCTACCAGGTAAGATGTAGACCTAGAAATGCAGACTTTATCCAACCCCAAGCTCTGGGCTTCAGAGAATTAAGAATCCTGAGAAAACAAAAAAATAGTTTTCACCTCATCAGTCACAGACACTGGAGCCTCTCAACAACCGCGATAATCTCTGTTATGCGCATATTACTTTCAGCATCCCCATTAGTAAGAGTTCCTCATTTTCTGTTCATAGGACAGGTGGTCACAGGTATCCAAAATGTGGTCCTGTGTTGCCACCCACCCTGTCACACAGTCTTCTGATGGATGCTTCCAGTGGCCCTTTTAACACACATTACATAGGCATAATGCACTGTTGTCATCATTAGGTTTTATTTTTCTTTAGTAATTTTTTTTAGCTTTATGTAGGGTGAGAAAGAATGGGCAACTCATGTTTTATTGCTGCTTGGATCCTAAATTAGGACATTTCCTCCAACTTCTAGAACAGATGACAGGTATTGGATGGAACAGGAAGTGAGAAAAAATCTCTCCAATAGGGACCCAGCATTTAAAACTTGAAATTGGTTCTAAGCAAGTAGCCGGGGAAACAATTGCACAGATGCTTCATATGGTGCTTGTGTGCAATGTGCTAAGTTTGTTGGCAAAGGATTTTGGAACATATTGAATATCTATTTGGAATATTTAATCTTTCCTTGAGGCAATGACTACTGTACACCATCCCAATCCTGGGGTGTGGGCCAAAGGTTGTTTACTGGACAGGTGCTATGTATCTGCTTTAATTACACATACACAGAGATCCCTATCCTGCGGGCATCACCTGACTGAGATCTGTCACCATAGTACAGTAAAAAATGATAACATTGTGGACTGTTTAGTTAAATAGGTTGCACCTCACCATTGTATACTTCCATTGTATCATTTTCTCACTGGGCACATTAGCAAGGTGCACTGTGACTGCTCCGTTATCAAAATTATAGTGTTTTGGACAGTAAGGGAGTGGTGCTATAGGAGCATATTGGTGTTCTCTGTTGACATATTTCTGAGTGTGTCAATGTGGGCATATTTCTTGTTGTATCAGTGTGTAACTGATTATTTATGTAGGGTTTCTGGTTGATTATGACTCAGTGGAAACATTTCTAGTTCTGTCAGTACAGTAGTGATTGCATTTTCATAGACATATGTCTGGTTGTGTCAGTACGTAACTGATTATGTCTTTGGGGTTTCTAGCTCTGTCACTGTCTATGTACTGATTGTGTCTCTGCAGACACATTTCCAGTTATGTCACTATGTGCCGATTGTGTCTCTGCAGACACATCTCCAGATATGTCAGTATGTGCTGATTGTGTCTCAGCAGACACATTTCCAGATATGTCAGTATGTGCGGATTGTGTCTCTGCAAACACATTTCCAGTTATGTCAGTATGTGCTGATTGTGTCTCTGCAGACACATTTCCACTTATGTCAGTATGTGCTGATTGTGTCTCTGCAGACACATTTCCAGTTATGTCAGTATGTGCTGATTGTGTCTCTGCAGACACATTTCCAGTTATATCAGTATGTGCCGATTGTGTCTCTGCAGACACATTTCCAGTTATGTTAGTATGTGCTAATTGTGTCTCAGCAGACACATTTCCAGATATGTCAGTATGTGCTGATTGTGTCTCTGCAGACACATCTCCAGATATGTCAGTATGTGCTGATTGTGTCTCAGCAGACACATTTCCAGATATGTTAGTATGTGCTGATTGTGTCTCTGCAGACACATTTCCAGATATGTCAGTATGCAGGGGCGTATCTGCCACGAGGCAAACAATGGCGTTGCTGCCTTGCCTAGGGAAGCAGCAAAGCTAAATACACCACTGTCAGTATGTGCTGATTGTGTCTCTGCAGACACATTTCCAGTTATGTCACTATGTGCTGATTGTGTTTCTATGCAGACATTTCTAGTTGGGTCAGTGCAGTAGTGATTGTGTCTCTGTTTACTTACTAATAATAATAATAATTTATGGATTTATATGTCTTTTTTGTGCAATTCTGTTTTTGAATACAGATAACACATTTTTATACTACATTGAACAAGGGTGAACTGGCACACCGGAGAACAGGAGCATATGGTTAGAAAAGTGCACATTAAAAAGTAGCTGGCTTTCCGGTCCAGGCTTGGAAAAACAAACGGATCAGAGATTTTTTTTGCCAGACGTGATCCTGCCAGATTGGGGGTAATACGATGTAAACAGACACATGTCTGTTTACATGCGATTCCCCATAGACAGACATGGGGTCGGGTAATTGCAGATTGGAGGAAAAAACTGTAGTGGTGACATCCGCTTCGTACTGCTGTGATCAGGAGAGGATCCATGCACGGATTCTCTTCTGATGAGCCCGTGTGAAAGGGCCCAAAAGTTTTAGCCAGATTAAAGTGACGTACTACATAAGCTTGGCAAACTAGCACAGTTGGCTAAAGTCGATACTTTTCTCATCAAAGTTAAACTCCTCGGTTTCAAAGAAACCACGCCTCCTCAAAATGATGATTTTTTTTTCGAGAATGTCCTCACTGATGTTAAACGTATCACAAGAAAGAACTATCTTACTTGTTGCTATAGGATTTTGTATGACCTTAACTTGCTGTGTGCTGCATATAAACACCTTTGGGAAGCACGTACATAAAGCACGTTTAAAGCTGCAGTCACACTAGCACTCATGTTTTTAGGTTATTTAAATGCAGGAGAAATTATCTGGAAAGTATAAACACACGCTATGCTTTGCAGATCGCGCTCTCTTGCATTTAGATCAGTGGTGGGGAAACTCTGGCTCACCAGCTGTGGTGAAACTACAAATCCCATCATACATCTGTCTCTGGGAGTCATGTCTGTGGTTGTAAGAATCTTGTAATGCCTCATGGGATTGCAGTTCCACAACAGCTGGAATACCAGAGTTTGCCCATCCCTGATTTAGATGCACCTTCCTTTTTGCGGGCTTAAGGGCATTTAAGTGTGTTTACATGTGTTTACGCACATGTACATGAATTTAGCCACGTTTAGCGTTTCTAATCAGATCCTGAATGCACAGAATTCTATTTTCTGTAAACATAGCTAAACTGAATGCACCTAAATGCCGATAAACACCTAGATCGAATGATACCAATAAAAATCATTATATGCATTTATATGCATTAAGAAATGTCCTTTAAAAGCAAATAAACGCATATCTGTCACTCTTTTACTAGAGCGACATATAACTAAAGCCTACATAACTAATGTTAACATCTTAATACTTCTTAATACAATAATTGGTCAAGCAACATTTGCTTGACCAATTATGGTCATCATTATTATACTTAGCTACACTTTTGACGAATTATTGAGCATGTAATGTTCCTATCATCCACTTCTTTGGTGTTATATACATTTTTTATTTCGTTCACTGAGCATAAAAAAATGTAGAAATCAGATGTGATATTGTGTCTGGGTATATTTGCATGATTGTGTTATAAATGCTACATAACTAATGTCAACATCTTGAGGACTGGGTAATACAATGGTTCCAGCTCTGTACCATTGGTCATTATCCTATTCCTTATCATAGCTGCCAATTACTGGTCACCCTCAACAAACTTAGCGGCATTTGCTTGACCAGTTGCTGTGTATGTAATTTTCCTGTCATGTTTTTTCTCTGTTATATACAGCTATGTGTTGTTCACTGAGCACAAAAATGAATAGCTCATCATTGTCTGATTATACTGTATACACACACACGATTCTGTTACAAATACAATTCAAATGACAGTTCTTTTGTGTTAAGTCATGCCATCAGAAATAAAGACATTGTTATTGGATGAAGAGTGTTGTGGCAAGCTGAAAAATGTGATGGGTTGGTGAGGTGAGCCCACAGACCGAACTCTCTGGTGGGCCCCAGAGTTTATGCTTTATGTGGAACATTGCACGTGTCCTGCATTTGTGCATGTTGGAGACAGGGGCAGTGGCCATACAAATTGCTGAGGGAGGGGTGGCACAAGGTAGTTGGCATACGATTAAAAAAAAAATATGAATCTGGACCTGGGCTTGGCACAGAAGATTTTGACATGCATCTGTTGGTACTGCACAACTGAAATGTCGCTGGATTTGGGGGCTATTCAAATGCACTGAAAGTTGCCTGTATGAGAATGTAGGCGTCTAAAACTTTTAATTTCAAAGCAGAAATACCACAGCTTGCCAATCAATTGCTACATAATTCAAGCAGACGCTACTTAAATAAATAGATTTTTGTATGGGTTACCAATGAAATAGTCATTTTTTCTTCATGAGGAAGATAATCATTTTGTTAATCACCTGTGAAATTGGTTTTTGAAAGTTCTTCATCACTGAGCTTTTCCAGGCTAAACATTACATGAAATGTGTTGATACAATTGATGCATGTTTTC